CCTAAACCTAACCCTAACCCTAAACCTAACCCTAAACCTAACGCTAAACCTACCCTAAACCTACCTAAACCTAACCCTAACCCTAAACCTAACCCTAAACCTAACGCTAAACCTACCCTAAACCTACCTAAACCTAACCCTAACCCTAAACCTAACCCTAAACCTAACCCTAAACCTTACGTTAAGTTAAATCGCGCTTCTGTCGGCACGCTGTTGTTGGCGCGCTGTTGTCGGCGTGCTTTTGACATCGCGGTTTTAGCACCGCGGTGTTGTCGGCGCACTTTTGACGTTCGCGGTTATGTCGTGCCACGACTTGAATGTGTTAGTTGTGTCTTCTCCAGGGGAGACTCATTCATGAGAGTTTGGATATCCTCACCAATATTAGTATGAAAAATGACTTTTCTGGATAGACCTACTTAATTATTACAACATTTAAAAATCAACTTTTCAAGTAGATGCACTGGAATTCAGCACATTTCTTTCCTACTCAGCATGGAGTTTTATGGTGGCCTCCAAATGCCTAAAACAGGTATTAACTTTACTTACAAGGCCCTGAGATTACACGAAATATTATTGATTCTATTTATAGTTTCAGCATATACATATTTTATTGCTGTATTGTTATTTTAGACTTATTGTTTAATCATTCCATTGTTGATCATACTTCAAATGTCATTAAAACGCTTTGGGATTTCTGGAAAGAAAGAGGGAGGCATAAATATTTCATTAAAAGACATGGCGAGAAAGTAGAAGAGGCTCTCTGTAATGTCATGCTCAAAAATAAAAATATCTGAATATTTGAACATTTGCTTATATATAGTCAGGTGGATGTGTTTTGCCAAATTTCCAATTCAAAGCCTGCAAAATCTCTGGGTCCTGTATGGGATAAAGAACCTTCCCATGTCTGTGTACAAAGTACAGGAGCAAATCAACTGTGATTCAGTGCAACAGAGCAACCAGATGTGGAGAACCAGATTGGAGAATAAACAGTAGGCCTGTCAATGATTCCTCAGGAGGAGGCAGCAGCTCAAACCAATAGGATGATGAGGGGTATCAAATAGGGCGTTCTCCTCCAGAGGATTGGAGGAAAAGCCAAACATTGACCTGCTTTTATCAAAGGTCACTAGAATAGAACCTCAACTCTCTTCTAAGTCTTGTCTTTCTGCCACAGCTGTCCATCAGGCACCGGCCTTCCCTTACAAGCCATGTCTACTCTGAAAGCAATTTGTGCTGGGCTCCCCCTCCATCCTCTTCCAGAGAATAGAGGCCGAAAGAGTGGAATTCCTCATGCTCCTGTGAGAAGCCCAAATCTCACGGAAAGTGAAGAAAAAGTAAGAGTTTATACAATTCTTCTCTTTGGACATTACCTCTATTTTCCTACAAAAAATCTCTCCATTAGCTAGAGCTACAAGCTCTGCATTCCTAAAATGTTCCCTAGAACTGAGTTGGGTGAATCACTCTGATAGAGTTAGATATGCTTCTTAAAGCAGGTATGGTGGTCTCTGCCCAGATATATTATTGATAGCTACTAGTTGTGAATATAAACACTGCACAGTTCTATTCTATATTGCCCTTAATGTCTTTCTATCAGGTATGTTGAGTTCCAATGCCTATCTCTGCTCATCACACCCTTAACAACATGGTCTTGCTCAAGAATTTCCAATTTTTCAGCATTAAGAAGTTCTGTTGCTGGGACTTTCTGAGTGTATCTTTCTTTATGGTTCTGTTCAGTAAAATGTGAGGCCCTTCTGCGTAGATAATGCCCTTTTGAAATGGGAGTAGCAATATTAATAACACACTTATCTTAATTCAAGGGACAATGATAGCAAATATAACCTGAGGACCAGACCTATATATTGTGTCTATTTTCAGTCTGAATTTGTAGTATTTTTTTTTTTGTTCCTGGGTTTTATGTCATGTCCTTTGGTTTCTGTAAATAACAATGTAGCTTTGTTTATAAGACTGTGTAAAGGCCAATATCCATGGGAACTTTTCATTAGTTGATTTTAATATCCTTGAATAAATCAAAACATATTTGCAGGAATTTTCTTCCAGTTATTTCCTGAATTCTCTTGCTTCCAAACTGCTTTGTTAATTGAAATATGTGACAGTAACATCCTTCATGTTCTTTTTCTTTCTCTGAAGCCTAAGCAGATTAATACTTGCCTCTGTTTTCACTACCCATTCCCTTAAGGTCAACTTGGGATTGTCTTCCTGCTTTTCACCCTCAAAACATAGAAAACAGCCTTTCAGCAATGAACAGAAGCCAAAAGGGAGACTGAGATGCTAATGGTAGAGCCAAGTGAGTTCTTACAGGTGAGGGAACAGGTTGCCCAAATCTTTTGCTGAATAAGTGCTTTTGCCTATAGTGCAAAATATATCCATTTCAGTACCTCATTGGATAAGCCAGCAGAAGAGGTCATGTTTGTTTGCATGAGCATAGAATCCTAAGGCTGGAAGGGGCCTTGAGGGTCTTCTACTCCAACCCCCTGTTTAAGGCAGGAGACTTCTACTATCCTAGTCGAATAGTTGTCCAGTCTATTTTTGAAAACTACTAGTGATGGAGCACCCACAAGTTTGGAATAGTATTGGCAGTAAGATTCATTCTGTGCTAGGAGTGTTTGCAGGGGTTTGTGTGTCAAAGTCTTCTTGAGAACATTTGTGGCAGCATGTTTGAAACCTCCTCCTCTTCCTCCTCCTCCTCCGATGCACATTAAAAGGATGGGACTCCAATTATATGACCACAAGCATTAACTTGACTTTTTTTTCATCCTCCTGCCCTTCATCACTCTCTGGTCACCTTGTTTTGTACTTCATATGAAAGCAGGAGATCAACTTGTGATGGTGTGGGGAATGTTATAGGCCTGGTTACACACCTTTGTCTATTGCAACTTTAGTGCTGTCTCCTAGCATTGCCATCTGTGGAAATTGCTCTGCCTAATATTAGGCATCTGTCTCCCGAGTTGATCCAGCATATAAATAAATATATATGATAAAATATGCTAAGAGAGAACAACTTTACTCCCAAAAAGTGTGCGATTTTACCCATTTTCAACAACCAGCAGTGGTTCAGCAACTGAAAATACTTTTTTTTTTAAAAATTGACACTTTTAACAAAAGGTCAGAAGTCTGGTAGCAACTTTTCCATCTAACAGATTTCATTTAAAGTTGTGTTAAAAAGCCGCTGCCTTAATAGCATTGGTTAGTTGGAAAAGGTGCTACCAGACTCTAAATTGTTTGCCATCAGAGACTAACACAGCTCCCCTAATAAAAACGAAATTCTATTTTGTATCTAGCTCACCTCCTGATAAGGGTAGCTGTATTTGTTCTTATATTTTTAAGACAGTGTAAACTGTGAATAATATTGTGTCTACTGTGGCATTATCACATTATTCTTAGGGCTTGGCTTCAGGAGAATCTCTCTTTATTGGCTCTTTGTTGTAAACCAACTCTTCTGGCAAAAATGTGAAGTTCCAGTCTTATGGATGTAGACAATTGTTACTGCTTTGAAATATGTTCTTTTGCCTTTTAAGTGACAACATTTTGTTTTGGTAAGGTCAACTATCCTGAGCTGGATGTCCTCCTGAAGTGTGAGGTCTAAGTCTTAGGAAACTGGCAGCTGCAGTGCCAACACATTTGAAAAATCCAAGTTGGGTAGCCTACCTGGTTGAGATCGCAGTAATCACAGACAGTACATTCTATGTGTGTCTCACAAGCGCACATATATATATTTACTTTCTCACATTTACAATGAGAAGGCTCTTCCTGCCACAATAAAGATCCTGTTTCCTTGCCCTTAAGTGAATTTATTTTATTCAATTTAAACAAAAATCCAAGCAATGTTCTTTAAATTGTGGCCAGTTTATTAAAATATTCTTCTGTATTGATCTTATTCCTAGACACCACCCAGAGTCCACTCTTGAGAGTGGACTTTTGACAAACAACTAAATGTCTTTGACCATTGGCTTAGTATTTCATATATGCATCTTTGTATACATTTATTTTGATGCCTTGACATTTGATGTTGGAAATCAGCCTCTCTTTTTGGTATACCATTTTTTTATTTGTTAGATTTATTTCCAGTTTGTTTCTCCAGGAGCTAAAGGTATCTTACTAGGACATTTCCCTTATTTGATGCTCGCAATAACACCTGTGTGAGGTACTGTATGTTGGGGTTGAAAGAATAACTGGACCAAAATCATGCAGTGAGCCTGTACTTGAAATTGGATCTCCTCTGTCTTCTCCCAGAGATTACAGTGACTTTATACAACAGTAACTCCTGAATTCAACAGGAATGCATGCGGTCTCATTCTCAATCCCTCTCTCCCCCAACAATTGGGTTGACTTAAAAAAAAACTTAATCCCTGAGCATATTCACATAGTTCAATAACCTTAGTTGTGCTGCAAGTCTCATGGAATAGTTTCAATGCATTTTCAACCCCCTAGTACATCTAGCCTGTGCTGCTCAGTCCAGTTCATTTAGCTTTCATTCTTAGAATTCAGAGAAAGATCCCCCCAGTGCATCCTTGGTATGGGAAAAGCTTGGAATGGTACTGAATCTGACCAATGCATTCTAAGCTCCTTTCCTTTCCTTTCCATTCCATTTCCTTTTCCTTATCAGAGAGGGTGGAACTTATGTAGTCTGCCCTGTACTTCCTCATGCATGTTTTTGCACAGATGTTCACATGTTCACAAGCAGCAACCGTGTAGAGAAATGCACTGTGCGAACAAATCACGTTTCTGTGTACGTATTATGACACTCCTGCATTTGGTTCCCTGAAGATAAGCAATTTATTCTAATGTCCCAGGCAGTTACATCATTGAAAAAAAAACTACTGTAAACCTTCTTAAAGAGGTAGTGATTATCCTCCCCTCCCCTTTCTTAGACTTTAATTCTTAGGTGCTGCTTCTTCTGTTAATAGTATAGTTCTCTATTGATTTAATTTCTGCCCATGAATTTCAAACTCTGTTTGAACACTGCAGCAGAATAAAAGGATTTTTAAAAAATAAAATAAAACATTTTAAAAATAAACAAAAAATTATGGAATACATTATGAAAGTATGCATTTCAGATGTCAGCATTTTTCTTTGTTTTAACTCAATTTTTTGGTACACATTTTGGAGTACATCAAAGTCAGCAGAGATTTGATTTCCTCCGAGAGGAATGGTGCTCACAGAGCATGGCACAAACTATTCCTGAACGCATGCCACTTTTCTTTGTAAGAGGGGGATTCTCCCCGGATGTGTGGCCAGTGTGTGAATATTTTAGGAAAATTGCAAATATGTATTTTTTTTATACTTAAGATGGGTTCATATACCATGCTAAACTATGGTTTGTCTCACCACTTTCATTAAATCATAATTTGCTAGGATTGTGTAACATGGAAAACTAAATACACATACCTACCGCAGCAGTCGACCCATGCAGACTAGCAGGAGAAACTATAAATTTGAATTTTCTCTACCTGGCTTCATTTCATCATCTCCCACTCAGCCATTGTCCACAGCCATTTCCTCACTAGTGATTTACAGCAACCTGACAGCATCACCAAACACTTACTAAAGTGGCATTAAGTCTGTCCTTATCTGTTATGCTGGCATGTCAGTGGTTAAATGAGTGTAGAAGATGCTGTAAAGCACTAGTGGGGAAATAACCCAAGAAGCAGTAGGGGAACACCTGGATATTTTCGTAACCCTAGCACATTGCATATTGAGTACAGGAGTTCATAGTTTCTTTGCACGGGGAAAGACGATATTAATTTGCTAGGAAATTTTACATGCACTGTGTATCTTCTGTCATCTCAGAATGGCGACGAAATAGCACATTTGGCATGGCCCATCTCTGCTGCCAAAGAGCCAGCAGAGCTTTCTGCTTTGCTTTGTGCTTAATGTAAAGGCTTACATTAATGTTCTTTTATTTCTTCTCTGGAAAATGGGCACTGGGCATTATCGTATTCATTCCAAGGGCTGAATGAAAAGATTCCATTGAAACTGTGCTACTACCTTAGTGGATAGACCCTCATTTTTATTCACGATCAATCTCCTTGAATCCTTTCATAAAAACTGGGCATGTTTCCCATTCAGCCTAATAAAATGCCTGTGCTTAATTAATTGTGATAGCCACCCACTTAGTCATTTTTAAACTTTAGTTATGTTTGCTTTTTTTCCCCCTTGTTTTGGCAGTTGGCTTTAAAAAACTCTCTGCGGTATTTCCCGCCTAACTTGCATGGAATCCTGGCACCAGAATTTGCGAAAGAATTGAGGCGCTATGGGCATATCTACATGTACAGGTTCTGCCCCCAGATTGAAATGAGGTAAGGATCAAAAATTTGCCAAAAGATTGGGAATTCCAGGTTGGCATCGAAATTCCTTACTCAGTAGCTTGGGCATCGTGGGCATCTGCGTGTGTGGGAAATGCCCACAATGCAAATCAAGTGACGATATCATGTTTCAAATGATGTCATTGAAGCTTGCAGTGGATGCTAACCAATCTCACATAAAGCAGAGCCATCATTTTTTTAACTGCCATTTTTTAAATTCATACAGCACCCTAAGTCCATGATGGTAAACCTATGGCACATGTGCTACAGGTGACACGCGGAGTCATTTGTTAGGGAATATGAGGCATTGCCCTGTCAGCTCCAGCACGCATGCGTACGCTGGCCAGCTGACCTCGGCTTTCTTTTGAGGCCGTTTTTCACTCTCCTGAGGCTTCCTTGAAAGACTGACCCTACGGGCAAACCAGAAATCGGGAATTGACTTCCGGTTTGCTCGTAGGGCCATTTTTTGCCTTCTGGAGCCTTAAGGAGACTTCCCTGAAGGCTCCAGAGGGCAAAAACCGGCCTTACAGACAAAGTGGAGTCGCCATTCCTGAACTTCCGGGTTTCCGTAGGTTCCTTTTTCTCTCTCCGGAGGCTTCAGGGAAAGCATCTGGAGAGGGTGAAAAAACAGTGCCAAAAGTAGGGGGGTCGCACACATAGCATTATGGGTGTGGCATGCCCGCACATGATCCCCCTGCGCTCCCCCCGCTTTTGGCACAGGAGCCAAAAAAAGTTAGCAATCACTGCCCTAAGCCATCAAATATTATTTAAAAAACTAAAATGGCTGTGTTCTGCTCTAAGTCAAAAACAATAAAACCTAGCACCAGTATATCTGTATAAAGTTAGCAAAAGTTTATAAGTGTGGCTGCTTCAAAGCCCACCTGTAAACTGAGCTAGCAGAAGGTCACTTTATGATTAACCAGTAAGATAGATAAAACAAGGCTGATAAATAAACAAGTTGATTTATTGGTCAATGTATGCAGCTGCTGAACATCTGGGCACTTTCAACTGGATTTAAGCATTATAAGAAAGTGTAATGTAATTACTTTGTTTCTGGCGCCATAAACTATGACTTAGGATAATACACCAAGCCTGTTAATTGTGGATTAGAAAACAAATCATGGTTAAAAAAAAAACAATCCTGAAAGTGTGAATTCAACTTTTGACTTGGTTTTGAGCCAATATTAACAGCTTTCTAACAGGGTGGAGAACAGTAGACCTTTGTCTCTAGTGAATGTTTACTTCTAGCATCTTCATAACACTTGTTTTTGAAATCATTGGGGACTGTTACTCATCAGCATGTACAGTAAATTAATGCACTTCTTCTCTGTGGCCAACTTCTTATGGGAAGTACAGCATATAACAACTGTATTTTACAAGAAGTAAGATATGCAGAAAACAAAGTATCAAGACTTGGCTTGTTCCTGACCATCAAAATACCAAGCCAGAGACTCCCAAGTGCCTTATTAGATTCCAATGAAGCCTATACAAGAACAAATTCCACAGCTGTATTTCTCTGACAGCCCATAAGCTTTTCTAATGTCAAGCCTTTTTCAAAACACCATCCATAAAAAAGTAACTATAATGTAAAGATAATAGCACCTACGTATGTCACGACATCATCTTGTAAATATTATAATTATGTTGTGATGTCTGGTGCAAATTTGTGTTCTATATATATCTATATATCTATATATCTATATATCTATATCTATATCTATATCTATATATCTATATATCTATATATCATCTATATATCTATATATCTATATCTATATCTATATCTATATCTATATCTATATCTATATCTATATCTATATCTATATCTATATCTATATCTATATCTATATCTNTCACTCAGGACGATGGGCGCTTCACCTTAGCTGTTGCAATGTAATAAGGGTTAACCGGAGGAGCAGTTTCTGTAAGCAGGGCAATAAAGATTACGCTAGGAACATGACCAGAATGTTTCCTTCCTGCCTTCCTTACAGGATTAGCCCTGTAAAGTGGGGAAAAACAAAAGGAAATTTCTTCCAACAATCGGTTCTCTGAACTGCTTAGAAAGTTAACAACTGGTTCTCCCGAATAGGTGCGAACTGGCTCCACCACTGATGGAGTTCTACAAGGAACATGTCACTGGATGATGTGTTACATCATTGGGAATGGCTGAAGGCAACCCTCAGCCCAATGAAAGCACACACATGTGCAGATTGCAGGGGGGGGGGAGGTTCTGTGTCTATGGACACGACCTATCTTTGGTTCCCACCCACCTCAGTTTCAATGAATAGCATTACTGGTAAGTTTGGAAAAATCTGTTATCAAAACTGCTGCCAGCCAGCAGAGAAATGGAATGGGTTTTCTGTATGACGGTTTGCTTAGGTACATGTTTTCCATGCAGGCAGCCAGGATCCCATTCAGCCCCAATGTTGTAAGCTACACTAGGGAAAGATTCCTATGCAAAATCTGGAAAAGACTTTGCCAGTCAGTTGCTAAACCATAGGTTCACTTGTTTGGTTTGGCTTGATGCAATATGTGAATCCAGCTATCGTGCCTTGTAAACCATAATTTGCAGCTTAGCGTGTTGTATGAACATAGGCAATGATGATTAACTTAATTGTTAGGTAATCCAGGGCCGAACAGTGTCTTTTTAAGCCTTCTAAATTAGTGTCTTCTAAGGGGAATTTTTTGTCTCAAGAAATGAAGCCTTATGCTTCAGAGACACTAGGGGGCTGTCTAAACACAGAAGGCTTTGCCTCAAACTCCCTCTCTAATTTTTATGCCGGGGATAGTTTTTAGAATATAAAATTGTTCTTCTAAATGTCTTTCTAAAGTTTTTTGTTGAAAAACCAAGGGGCCACTTTTACATAAGTGAACAATGTTGATTCAGGTTTGGTACATCCATCCCATTCTTCTATGTCCTTATCATGCCTTATTCCGCTTAAACTTTGTGTCAGGTGCTTTGCTGTACCGAAATTTTGAGCATGCAGTTGTATACACATAACCCACCCCAACATTACATTCATATTCAATGCATGAAATAAGGTAAAACTCATTTGCAGAATAGGAAATCTTAACATCCAAACTGGCATTGGCATCATGTATTCCCCCCCCCCTCTTGAAAAATTAGGCAAAACTAAACATTCTTCCCTGACACTTTACATTAAATTGTAAGAACGGGAAATTCCTGACTGGCTTTTCTGGTTTTAAAATGAGGACAAGAGCTATTATCATAAGTAAATTCCAACAGTTTGTAAAATGTGCAGATCAAAACGAGGGCTGAATGGAGACTTTTTAACTGATTTACTAAACTCAAATTGAATACGAAAAGAGACTCGTCTGAAGCATCTGCAGTTTAAACGCCTTTTCTGCTTATTTCTACTTACCTGCTCCAAGATGGGCAAAAATAATATACTCCAGGAACACGATCAGCGTTAAGCTTTTATGTTGCGTGACTCCGTCTAGGAAATCCATCTTTGCCACCGACGTGAGGTCGAAAACAGTAATTAAGGCTATTTTACATGTCTGGTGCCCACTCAACCTTTGGCAAGAAAAAGAAAACAAAAGTCCAAGCCCTCGTAATTTATTCGGATGGTTCTGGGACTGCCGGGTTTTCGCCCTGTCTTTCTCTTTAAGCTCCCCCTTCCTTTTCCCCAAGGGGTCGCGTTTCCCAAGCCGCCGCGCTCTCTCGCTGCGTGTCAGTCCCGGCCGTCCATCGCCGCCAAGTAGCTCAAGCCCCACTGGCGGGCTTAGAGAGAGGGGGAGACATCCCCCCCTCTCTCCCCCGGCTCGCCCCTCCGGAGACTCGGCGAAAGTCGCGCGGGATTGCCAAAGGCAGCCGTGCAGCGAGCAGGCGCCAAAATCGCTGCTGGTGCTGCTGCTTCTCCTCCACCGCGGACCTTTTGGGTCAAAAACACCAGGCACTGTCAATCGGTCTCAAGGGGCCTGAGCTTCCGATTCCACCCCGGGAATCTCTTATCTTGGGCTGGTTCTTTCGTCTCCCAGTCCTCCACCGCCTACGTCCTACCTCGGATCTCCTAGCGAGAGTGCATTCCGGGGCAAAGCTGCCTTAGGTGCCACCATACCGGGCTTTCTTTTGGCTCCTTCACTCCGAGGCAGCGGGCCGGGGGACGGGGAGAGGGGGTTACTCAGAGGGGAGGACGATACCCCAGAATCTCTGGGCGATCCGACCTACGAGGTCGGGCGCTTGCCTTGCGCAAAATCCGGCGACCGAACTTTCTGACACTTGAGAACAATCAACCAGTGGAACGGGCGTTGCCTTCGGAAGTTGTGGGAGCTTCGTTACTTGAGACATTTTATTGGGCTGCCATTTGTCAGAAATGGTATAGGGTCTCCTGCTTGAGGTGAGGGGTTGGACTAGATGACCTATAAGGTCCCTTCCAATTCTGTTAATCTGTTAAATCTGACCACCACGGCATCCTCGTCGCGACCCTCCCCCCCACTTCTTCCTCCTCGCTTTCTGCTTCATAGACGGAGCAGAAACCAGCGATCGCATCCCACGCTCCATTCAACCTCTCAGCCCCTCGGTGGTGAGACCCGATCCGACCAAGCGTGCGGTTTAGATCCCACTCCCGATCTCTATCCCTCCACAATCGGGCAACAGCCGCACGTTTTTAAAGACAGGCTGTGTGGGGGGGGGGGACGGGGGACGACGACGACACACATTTCACGCCTTCACTCTTTGAGGCTTTCGTCTGATCCGGGGAGGGGGCCGAGGAGGAAGAACGAGCCCACCCGAACGCAACGGCGACGGGGAAGTGTGCTCTCTTCTCAACCCCGTAGAACTTCCTTCCCGTCGCTTATGGACGCGTGTTCGGGTTTGTTTAAACTCGGTTGTTTCTACAGAGAGTCGGGCAAGGATTCTCCCCACGAATCTATCCGTCTGGTTAAGAATGGATTGTCGACCGCAGGGGCTGGACGGCACCGCGGCTGCCCGGGTCGTTCTGTCTCCTTGCCTGTCGCTGATGGGACTGCATTCCCTCGCCTGTCTCTGCAGCGCCCTCTCTCGGACGACACGCCCCATCACTCCCAATCGTCAGGTCTTTATTACGTTGCTAGAATTATGGACCTGTCCTGTGTAGGGACTTTTTATTTTATTTATTTAGTTTGTGAAACATGTAAAAGATAACAGGTATGAGTATAAACATAAATGTGAACACAGTAAGTGGGTACGAATAAATGGAGACAGTAGGACAGGGACGGTGGACACACTAGTGCGCAGGCCCTTGGACCACTTAAGGATGGTGCTGGTTAAAGGGAAAGTTGCAAGGAGAGAAAATGGTAGATTTCCAACTCTTTTTGTCTGTTGTTCAAGATGGGCATCAGTACAGAATAGAGGGAATACTGGTTTGGGGTCTCAGATGTCCTACAAAAATACAAGGTGAAAAATTCCAAGCGTTTTGTTTCTCTGACTCAACTATACCTCATTTCCTGATAAGGTTCCCCCCCCCCCCCAAGCAGTTGGTTGGGCATTTTACTTCCAGTTGGTCTCCCTTGGTTTCCCTTTGATTAGCATCATCTTTAAGTGATTGAGATCTGTTACATTTTTAAAAAAATTACTTTGCTTTTCTACTTACAAAGCATTTAGTAGTACAGTTTTAATGTTACAAATAATAACTGAAATTTAGTAAAGGCCAAAGGTTTTATTCTATATATTCAAAAGGGCAACTACTACAGAATGAAGATGTCAATACTGTACTGATCATTGCAAGATCTTTTGAAAGTTAAATTCTTCCACAGCTTCACTGGTTTTAAGTTTACTTCTGAATTTCGTTTTGAGTTTTTGCAAGCCCCACATGGCCTGAATCTGTAACACCTGAATCAGAACATAGGCCCTTCTAATTCCAGATTTTGCAGTTTTAATTTCATACTATACCCACCATGAGCCGAATGCGTTTAGGTAGTTCACTAGAGAGTAGTAATTTCCATGTGGTTATATTTTCTAATATAACTAGGATTCAAGGTATTTGGCCCATGAATCAAGGATACTTAATAGGACTGCCATTAATTTTAACAGAATATTAGAGTTGGAAGGGACCTTGGAGGTTTTTTAGTCCACCCCCCCTACCCAAGCAAGACATCCTAGGCCTATAACATTCTGGATAAAAGGCTGTCCAATCTCCTCTTAAAAACCTCCAGTGATGAAGCACCTACAACTTCTGAAGAAAAGCATTCCACTGAATAATTGTTCTCACTGCCTGGAAATTCTCCTTAATTCTAGGTTGGAGCACCCCTTGGTAAGTTTCCATTCTTTACTTCTTGTCCTACCCTCAGATGCTTTGGAGCATAGGTTGACCTCTTCTCTCTGACAGCCTCTCAGATACTGGAAATTTGCTATCATGGCATTCCTAGTACTTCTCTTCATTAGACTAGACATACCCAGTTCTGCAACCATTCATCCTATGTTTTAGCCTCANTATCTATATCTATATCTATATCTATATCTATATCTATATCTATATCTATACCTATACCTATACCTATACCTATACCTATACCTATACCTATACGTATGTATGTATGTATGTATATGTATATATGCATTGTTAGTGAACTATAAAACACTCCATGCCATTTTAACCTTAGTTTAAGCATGTTTAGGGCTATTCAAGGTTGACCAGCCTTCCGTCCTTCCAAGGTGGGTAAAATGAGGACCCAGATTGTTGGAGGCAATATGCTGACTCTGTAAATGGTTTAGAGAGGGTTGTAAAGTACTATGAAGTGGTGTATAAATCTAAGTGCTATTGCTATTATCTGGGCTGAAAAAGGTAGACAGCCAACAGATAGTAGCAAAGAATTAGTTTTATGTGTCTCTTGTCTGCCATCTAGTAGTCATCATCCATAGTGCATTCCTAAACCTATTGAACAAACCCAGGGTACAGATCTTGGAAATGGCCACAGACTGTAGATTGGCATTGTGTGAGGTTTTGATTAAGCTGTTGAGTTACAAATCATCTCTTAGCTGTGGAACCTTGGGCCAATCTCTCTTTCTCAGCCCGCCCACTTCACAGGATTGCAAAGAGGAGAGGAGAGAAGAGAAGAGAAGAGAAGAAGAGGAAAAAGTGCTGCAGCCAAATGCTGTGGCATTGATCTCAAATATCTTTGATCATTAGATGCAAAATTCATTTGTCCTCATTAACTTCATTTAATTTAATTTAATTTTCGTTTACTTCATTTAATTTTTTTTTTTTTGGCAGCTGTAAGTTCAAATTATTTTGAACTTACTTTGAATCGACTGTGTGAATTGACACAGATCCTGCATTGACTCTAGGCTGAAAAAATTTGCTTTTGTAATTGTTCTGTAGTTTTGAAAATCTGATAAAAGGCAATTACATTCCTCAAATGTAGTGTTCCATTTTGAAGCATTTTTTGTTAACAATTGCTCAGGATCTGTTTGTTCCAACTGGATTTTATATTTGGATTCTCAAATGAACAGCTCAAATTCTGCCCATATTCCAAATATGCGTAGTAGTTTAAAAAATGAATGCCCAAAGGCACAAAGCTCATCTTTTATAAGCATGCAGCTGAGCTGATACAGGTTTTCTGAATTCAGATTCTAAATAAATAATATCAAGTAACAAAGTCAGAATAAACCCATTTAGCACGGAATGCTTCCAAAATAGACATAGAACAAGAAAAACTGGGGAGAAAAACCTTTCTTCTTTTTCTTGTGCAATATCCATCATTGGACGTTGGTGATCATGTTGGCAATCCTATTTTAGTCAACAGCCACATGAAAAAGTGCTGCTGAGTTTTGTCCAAACTAGTCCCTTAGGTTTTGAAGCCATTATATTCTTCTTCTGTCTGGACCTCATTTGCCTTCAATCTTTCCCTAGAGGATAAAGTGAAAAAAAAAACCACTGTGATATTCATTTCTTTTGCAGGTGGATGTATTTGCTAACCAAACTGTTTGTGAATGGCACTATGTCTATTTCTACTCTAATGTTGATAATTATTTCTTATCTCTGTATGTGCATATCAGGGGTGGGTTCCTGCCAGTTCTAACCTCTTCTATAGAAGAGGTTCCACAAATCTACAGTGCCGTTTAGAACCGGTTCCAGCTCCCTCCCCCCGCCCGTTCGCACATCATCAAGATGAAGAGCGAGAGGAGGAATTCTGGGAGTTGAAGTCCACAGGTCTTAAACCTGTCAAGTTTGAACTCCCCTGGGTTTTTTTCTAAAGGGTAGGGGATGCAAGGGTCTTGTAACTTGACAGCTTTAAGACTTTCACACTTCAATGCCAGAGTTCCTGGGCCAACATGACTGGAGGAGGAATTCTGGGAGTTAAAGTCCACAAGTCTTAAAGCTGTCAAATTTGAACACCCCTAGGAGTTTTTTTCTAAAGGGTTAGGGGTGCAAGGGTCTTGTAACTTGACAGCTTTAAGACTTGTGTGCTTCAAATGCCAGAGTTTCTGAGCCAACATTTTGGTTGCTAAGCAAGAGCATTGTTAAGTGAGTTTCACCACATTTTACAAGTTTACCCGGTCACATGGCTGGCAAGCCACTCCCACCCAATCACATGGCCGGCAAGCCACTCCCACAAAGCAGGCCACACCTACAGAAGAGGTTCTAAAAAAATTGAAACCCACCACTGGTGCGTATGTATGTATGTATGTATGTATGTATGTATGTATGTATGTATGTATGTGTGTATGTGTGTATGTGTGTATATGTGTATATGTGTATATGTGTATATATGTATGTATGTCATACTCAGGGCTGTGCTCTGTTCAGAATTAATTTGGAAAACATGGTTGGATTCACCCAGGAATATGAATAGAACACTTGCCTACAAATCTTTAAATAAGAGCTATCTGACATATTGAAAGGGCACTATGTAGAAAGAAGCCCTTAATACATCAATCTCTTTGGGGGGGGGTTAATTTAGATTGAATTCAGATAGTCTTATTCATAATAGAGTGCCCTGCATCCTAATTGACTTTATCTTTCCATTAATTGCTTTCTATATTGGCTTTTTCCTTTAATTTATCCATCAGATCAAGCATTGTAAAAACAGTTAGAGAATAATTAATTCATCTCTGCCTTTATCTGCTTTAATTTCAGATCTTATCCCATTCAGGAATATCCTTGCAAAACCAAGCAAGCTGCTGCAATAATGCACATGATTATGAATAACCTTGATCCTGCAGTAGCACAGGTAATGAATATTTGATGAAAACATGGTCTAGGAAAGAAATCCCCCTGCATGTTCATGAGAATGTACTGCCTTTTATGAGGTAAATTTCAGTTTCCCTTTTAACTTAGAGACAGGATTTAGGAACATATATTACATTTAGTGATGGTTGTTTTAACAATTATTTATTGAATAAACCTACAATTAGCTAGGTTGGAAAAACTCGGTAAAGTTATAGTATGGAGGTGGGATTCAGCCAGTTCAGATCGGTTTGGGTGAACTGGTAGACCCAATTATCAGCTGGGTAGCGAAACAGTTCGCTCAGATGAACAGGGTTGGCCCGCCCACCGTCCCCTGCACTTTACTTAACTATATCCTCTCAGTTGATTCACGTAGCAGAGCAGATTGCCGTGCCTCAGCTGTGTTACTCCCCAGAAGTAACATAGAAGGTAAGTTTTGTTAAAACATGCGCACATGATCACCGGACCAGTTGTTAAACCGGCAGGATCCCACCACTGGTTATGGACCATTGTTTACAAACCACAATATCCAGCTCTCATTGTTCATACATATATAATTACCATCCTATTTTCTTTCAAGCAAGCATTATTATCAAAGTGGAGAAAGAAATTGTATACCAGGGGGTTATTCTGTTTCTTAATATTCGAAGTTTTGTATTATTATAATTGTTTTTATCCCAAAGACGCTTTTCAAAAGGCAACTGGATTTTCTTTAACTTTTTGTGCCTACATATTATAAAATACCTTTTATCTTGTTTGCATCATTTATATGCATTTTCCACATTATTAACCTCTTTCATGCATTCATTCCACTAGATATTCCTTTTCATACATATTTCTTTAGCTCCTAGTAACATAATTGTTTTTACTCTGTTTTAATTAACACCCGCATCGATTTTCCTTAAGTTCACTTTCAATTCATTTTGTTTGGAAATTAAATTCTTACTTTATCTCATACAAAACTGTACTTTTTTTTCCTGCAGTTGTTTTTCACTTCTTTATTTTTCTTCCATGTCCTTTTCCACCAGTCTTGTTCATGGCATTACCAAATCATCTGTCCCATATTCATAACTTCTGATCCTCCTTGCCTCTCTGTCTTTGATTCTTTGATTCAGTCTTTCATTATACAATCAATTAAATACTGTTTTTGATTTTTATTCATTCTTCTGCATATATGAATATGAATAGATGTATAGATTAATCATATATTCAAAAATAGTCTTTTTCTAAGCAGATATTCCCTAGTCACCCTTCTTAATTAATTACTGGGTCTCTAAATGGCCCCATCTCATTTCCCTCTTTTCATTCATGTTGCCCAATAGAATTATTTTTCCTTGGATTGCATTCATTCATAGCAATTAAAAAGGAAGAAAAATCATTCATAAAAAGAAATTGTATATCGTGTGGGCAATCATTTTTATTTCATTTTTATGGTAAGATATTAAGGATACTAAACAGCTGTCCTCAAGATGAAGATCTTATTCTGGAGGCAGACATAAGAGAACTTAATATTATTGTATAGGAATTGTTTTGAAATCTTGCATGGATTTAAAATGTACCTTTTGCAGTTTCCCCAGGAACTTGTAACATATGGAGGAAATGGACAGGTGTTCAGCAACTGGGCGCAGGTATGATACTGTACTGTAGATATATTTTCAGTGATAAATGATTAAAAATGATTCTCATTCTGTTTAAGCAAAGTTTGAAGAGCAGCTGACCATAAAATAAGATCTTTTCTAACTTTTACTTATTTTATGCAGGAGGAGAAAAAATGAGAATGAATCTGCTTGTTCCCATTGATACCATCTTATCATTCTTTTTATTCCAATAAAAGAGAATATTTGTTGCTGAGGGTTGAACTGTGGAATTCTTGGTGCTCTCTTAGTGCTTGATTGTTTGCCTGTAGATATTTCATTACCCAATGAGATAATATCTCCAGTGGTAATAAGTGTGGTTGGCTCATTCACAAGTCAGACACAAACTCAGTCACCATTTAATATAAATATAAATATAGATGGTGGGGGGGGGGATGTTGTTGTTGGTACCTTCCAATCAGCACAGCCTAGAAAGGTCCCTGCAGTTTCCTTGGCAAGATTTCAGAAGTTATTTGCCATTGCCTTCTTTCAAGGGCTGAGAGAGAATGGCTGGCCCAAGGTCACTAGCTGGGTTTTCACTTAAAACAAAAAAGAACTCATATTTTCCTGGGTTTTAGCCTGATGTCTTAACTACCACACCAATCTTGTTTGTTTGTTAATTAAATTTATATGCTGCCCAGAGTCACTTTGAATAGTGAGATGGGCAGCATATAAATTTAATAAATCAATAAAATCTGGCTCTCTGTTTTCTATTATATAATCCAACCATCAGCCTTCCCTGATTATATTATTTTGTTTTAAGAAGACAAAAGAAAAGGCTGGGATAAGTAGATAAGCCCGCATACTAACAGTCATTCCCCCCGCCCCCTCAGTGATTCTTTCAAGGCCTTGTTTATGGGGGGGGGGGGGGCTTAGATTGTTATTGTCCTTCCAAGACAAAGATCTGAAGAAAAGGGAGTTTTATCTCCATGGAGGTCCTTGTTATGTGGATTCTTCATTTTTCAAGATTTTGCACTGGTGTATAGTTGCAAAGTACAACTATACTTTGAATGCTTCCGGGTCCTTTCAAAACAAGTAGCTTAGGAGGAAGGGGTTATAGTCCCCCTTATGAGACAAGAACCAAACAGATGAATGGAAGGAACAATTTGTAGTACTTTTCATGGGAGTAGCTTGGCTTGTGTGATGTCCTTGAGAGCCAGCACAAACCTAAGCTCCAATAGAAGAGAGTATTTATATCTCTGGATTGAACTCTAGACTAGAGTCCTTGGTGCTCTCTAAGCTTGGTTGTTGTTTTTCTAGACATTTCACTACCTAACTAGGCAATTGATAATGTTACCTAGTGGGATAATGAAACATCTGCAAGAAAGCAACCAAACTCAGAAATCACCAAGAACTCCACAGTTTTGTGCTCCCATAAAGCAAAGTTCAAAGGAGTTTGCTCCCAGAACTACCCCAGCTTGAACAGGCATGTGCAGGAGGACCTATGGGACTACATATACCAAGCCAGTTAGTTCACCATTTATTTCATGCATTGCTTTCACATTTTCTCAATAAGGAGATAGATGGACGTGCAGGAAGGCCCTGTGCAGACTTGCCAGTTCTGCTGATTGTTGTTTTTTGTTTTAGAATTAGGATTCCTGGATTCCCAGGCAGAGTGGAGCCTTCTGAGTTTTTGTTCTCAAAATAGCAACTATGCTTCCTAAAAATATATGATGAGCATGACTTTGTATCTAGTGTGCCTTGGTGTACTTTAGGGCATACATCTTGAGTTGCACTGTGGAACCGAGACAACACAATCTATGGACGCCTTCTGTCTGTACTTTTGCTCCTGTTCTGATAGGAGTGTGATACCTCAAAAGAGTTTCACAGCAGAACAAACAATACTTCTTTGTCATTCTGGTTACTTAAGAATAGCTATTGGGTGAATGATTTTATTTCGTTGCAATAAAGCCAGCTTGTTCTGCCTGCTTGATATGGTGAAAAAGAGACTGTTTTTAAAGATGTGTGATTGTAGCAAAACTGCACCTCAAAGTGTTGTTCCTTGCTTGTTATCAATGCTGCCTTTTTTCTCCCCTTTTTAATGAGTTACAAAAACTCATTTGTAGTTTGCCATCTTTGCCCTGGAATATCCTTTTTTTTTTTTACAGATGCCTGACCCACATTTTCTCATTATTTATTTATTTTATTGGCATCTTGGTCTTTCTCCAGTAGCTGAGATGAACCTTTCCTCCCTCTCTTAATCCTAACCTACTGAAGTAAGTTGGATCACAGTGATAGCAATTGGCCCAAAACAGTCCAGTACGTGTTTTCTACTGAATGCCTAAATATCTCAACAGAGAAATCCAGTACATTTGGAAAACATTTGGCTGGATGACACTTTTAAGGAATACTACATAAGAATATAAGTAATGCCCTGCTGGATTAGATCCCTGGCCAGTAGTCTATTTCCACAGTGGCCAACCAAATACACAAGGAAGTCTACATGACAACCAACCAATGATCTCCAGAGGCAGTCAGATTTCCATCAAGGCTTTGACAGCTAAGACTTATGCTATCAAAAAATACCTGTGATGATTTGGAAAATGGCTAATACCAGAGTGGGAGATGGGACCAGAATTAGGATCAAAATTGCCATTAGTCCTAATGACAGCTCCCTTCCAAAAAGTAATTGAGGAGAGGGCAAGGAGACTTTGAGAAGAGGGCAAAGAGATTTTGTTCTTTTGCAGGAAAAGTATACAAAGAACCAATCAATCAAACCTACCAACCAACCATGTTTCTTTAAAGCTCCTGGCAGAAATCCAAGTCTCTGCTAATGTAAACCTTTGTACTAGGAAATCCTCATTCCAAAGCCCATTGATAAAAGAAAAAAAATGCAGTGAGAGGGGAGCTAAATTATTGTTCATAGCACCGGGAAATAGAATCCTTATCCTCTCCTTGCCCCTTCTGCCCTGTCTTCTCCTCCTGGCATCCCAAGTCACTATTTTTTACCTGGATTGTCTTTTGTCTAGGGTTCATTGAAGTCAGTGGGCCAGTAAAAATAGGATTGGACAGGAAATCCAAAAATCTGAAATTGTGTTGGGATTATATATTGCCTAAATAGTTTTATTGTGTTGAATGAAAAGTTCTGATTGATTTTATAGTTTCAAATATTGAGTTGTACTACAAACAGAGCTACCTGCACATTTCTATAATTCCAATTCTAATTTCTACTGTGCCATCATAGAAAAGGCTGTTAACCAGTCCATATTTTCACCCCACCCATCAGTTTAGCTCTCTTTCCCTGGTAGTAGGAAAAAGTTTACTTTTTAATTCCCATTATCAATAAAAACAATAGGAGAGGAACCATTTCTGTGTGAAAATATTAGATTAGGAGCTCATTGTCTATTCCCACCTGATAATGCATTTTTAATCAGCCTCACCACTTTTCTCATCAGGAATTCTCATCAAGTGGTCTCCCGCCATTCTGTCTGGTCTAGTTATTAAAAATCTGTAGAACAACGACCCTTTTAAGACAAGAAGCTAATCTACTACTTCTTTCCTTTCTCTAGTTCTGGCTGGTGATGCACTATTTATCTGAGATGACTGAAGAACAGACATTAGTTATGTACAGTGGACATCCCTTAGGAGTCTTCCCAAGCCATTGCAATGCACCTCGATTAGTTATCACTAATGGCATGGTAAATAAAAGCAACAATATCTCCTCTTCGCTATTTCTTTATCATTGTGACACCTCTAGTTTTGACCTTTCAGTAGGTCCACTGTAATTATTTATACTAAGCATGAAGCCACATCTCTTATGGAGAGACTGGGCCTTTCATTAGTAGCTTGTATAAAAGTTAAAGGTGCTCATCTCCATTTCCTAGTTGAGGGAGTCAATATTGTCTGAAGAAGCTTCCATAGACATGTGGCCAGCATAACTATATCCCGAAGTGCATGGAATGCTGTTACCTTCCCAACAAACTGGTACCTATTTATCTACTTGCATTTGCATTCAAGGGCAAGCTGGGGCAAGTACAGGAGCTCACCCTGTCATGTGGTACTTGGATCTCGAACTGCAACCTTCCTGTCAATAAGCATAATTACTGCTACTCCACCGCTAAGCCACAACTATGTCTCCTCATTTTCAAGGTGAAGCCACCATCCAAAATGGAGATTGAAGGTTCATGATTTTCAAGGATAGGATATCCAAAGCAAGTAGATTCAGTTACCAAAAGAAACCTGCATTCCTATGCTGATGTACACAGGATTTATCAAATGAGAATCCCATCATTTTCTAATGGAAAGTTCCTATTCAGCTGTCAGTCAGCTATAGTGACCTTAAAGATATAATGTGACAAGGCTACAACGTCTGTAGTTTTAAGGCTCTATGTGTCCTTCCCAGAATCTTCTCACAAAATGCTACCAAACTATATAAGTGACAAGATTATTATACATAGGATATGTGTCTGCTAACTATATTTAATTGACAGAATCAATCTACTACATACAATAACGTAACATTACTTTTGTTCTGGTCTCTCCTTTCTTTGTCCTGATTTTTCCCCCATTTTAGAGGTTGGCCAACAACATGCCAGTCAGTATAACTATTGGCTGAAAAAAGATTCTCCCCTCACTACAAAGTATAAAACCATTTAATTTCCTTTTCTTCCCTTTACTTTAATTTTCCAGCTTACATTGGGCATTCTATAGCTCTCTCTTCTTGTTCCATGGAGAGCCAGATCATCCAACCATCTCAATTTGCAATTAGTAAGGATTATTTGTTTCCATTGAACAATCCTCCTGGTCATTGTGAAAATTTATTAAGATTGAGCATGCTTTGAAGTTGTGGGTGGTCCAACACTGGAGGTTTTTTTAAAAAGGAGATTGGACAATCATTTGTCTGAAATGTTCAAGGTTTCCTGCTTGAATGGGGGTTGAGCTCGAAGACCTCCAAGGTCCCTTCCAACTGTGTTATTCTGTAAATCTGAAAAAAAAATCTGCTTTAAGAACTTTATTAAATGAAATTAATTCAATATGTCCCATAAGAATGACCATATGAGCCACCACGCACTATAAGAATGGGATATAATGGAATATGTTTAAACAATATCTGGTTTAGAGACTATTTCTTTAATTCTTCATTCCTACTAATTTTGCTTTTTTCTTTACTTAGGTAATCCCCAATTATTCCTCTAGAGAGGAATATGAATCTATGTTTGCAAAAGGAGTTACAATGTAAGTACGGTATCCATTCCCAAGTTTCTTTTTCTGGTCTCTTCTATAAAATCACAAAGTTGGAAAAACACAATACTGATATGCAAATTAGAGCATTTTCAGTAGAAATCTGTCTAGGCTCCATTTGAATAGCTCTAGTGAAGGTGAACTGATAGTCTCTCTGACTGATTGGATATATCTTATCATTAAACTTTATCTTTTAATATCCAGTTGGCATCTGCTTTCCTATACTTAAATTCATTGCTTTGTTTCTTGCACTATGGAATGGTACATTATAAAATTTTACTTTCATGTCTGATGACGTATTTTTTTTAGGTGTTTGAAGAGTTCTGTGAAATTTTCCCCATCTTCCTTTTTCTCCTCCAAACATTTCCATTTCTTTAAACCTTTCCTCGTAGGACTTAGCTTTCTAGTCCATTGATAATTCTCACTGCTCTATACCAGTTTCTGTGAATCCATCTTAAAATTGATTACAGTCTGCAGAATTGCTGTGACTCATGCAGATTTCAGTTCAAGTAATAATTAATATGATTTTACGCTTCTAATAACGCAGCCTCAAATTTCATTTCCTTTTCAACAGACATCATACTCAGTTTGTGATCAACCTTTTAACATCTTCAAGCCAAGTATTCTCCATCCTGTAACTTTGATTCTCACTCAAATTTCATTATATTCAACTTTTTTCTCTAACTTGTAAAGATAGGTTTGAATTTTCTTTTGCCCTTTTAATTATTCCACCCAATTTAGCATTATTTACATTTTCTCTATCTCTTTAACTCAAGCCATTAATATAAATATTGAAGATTAGTGGGCACAAGGCTTAATTTGTCATACAGTATATCATTTGATATCACACTCCAGTTTCATGAAAAAGTATAGATGATCAACTGGACAATCTATATCAGGGCTGTCAAACTCGCGGCCCATGGGCTGGATGCATCATGCACTGGCCACACCCACGCCAGTTTAGCAAAGGGAAAAAAGTCCCAATACATCATGTGATGCCACTGTGACAACATGAGTTTGACACCCCTGCTCTATATCATTAGGTTGATGAACCACAATAGCAATAGCACTTAGACTTATATACCGCTTCATAGTGCTTTTACAGCCCTCTCTAAATGGTTTACAGAGTCAGCATATTGGCCCCAACAATATGGGTCC